GCGGATTCACCAATAGATGACCCACTATATCAGTTACCTTCAATAGAAGATGAAGGGTTCACGGATTTACCAATAGAGGGCCAATTATAATACAGTGACACTTCAATAGAAAATCAATGGACCACTTGTTCACCAATAGAGGGCCCACTATATTACAGACCCTTCAATAGAAAATCAAAGGCCCACAATAGCACAGATACAGATCAATGCATGGTGATGTCATATCTTTATTCAAGGATGTAGTAGCCTTTCATATGCATTTAAAAAGCATTACTGATAACTTTTTTTTTATATTGTCATGTAACATATAATCCTAGGTTAAACAAAAGTGAACAAAATAATCGTTTGGTCACTACTTAACTTCAAGTGATGTATATCCCTGATATTTCATTAACATATCCTTCATTATATAAATAATGCAACATTTTCAAGTTATTGCATATATTCATGCCACACGTTTTTTAAAAAAGTTGCCATAACTTTGGAACTGTGACTGATAGAGTAACTTGTCCTACAAATCATTGAATCACATAATGAAATCAGAGTAATGCTTTCACTGGAAGTTAAGAAGTGGTCAAGGTTTGATTCCGCTAAGTTTAAAAATACAATAAACTCGTACAAATTTGGTTATAACCTAATATGCAGGGATTGCATTTTGGTGTAGAGTCCTGATGAGAAAATTCAGTGGAATTGATAATGTATTCTGTATATATTCATTATTAATGTTGCTCTAAAATAGAGGACCCCTGAAATATAGAGGGTCTTGGAAACAGAATTTCGGTTAACACAATCCATGATACTGTAAGTACAACGTTGGTTTACCCAATGATTTCATGCAATGAATTGAGATTTAAATTGATCTCTTCATTTTTCCAGAAACTCTACAAATCACATTTCAATTTTTTGTTTTAATTGATTAGTGTGTGTATTTTCTAAAGGAATATCTAAACTCGCATATGAGGGGTAAACAAATGACATCATTTTCACTTTGAAGTATATCTAAATTTGTCTTCAGATCATCAATAAAAAAAAACCATGCATACAATTCATCAATTTAAGGATGCCTTAAGATTATGTACTGTTACATATACATGTATGACTTTTGTTGAAGTGAGCAATAAAATACAGGTGATAATACAGTTATAAGATTTAAAGTCAACTAATACTTCCCATTATACATATAGACTATGCCACACTATTTCCCACACCCAAGCTACATTCACCTAATAGTTTCATAAAAATAGATATTATATATACATGTAGTAGCATATATTAAGTTTACTAATAAAGGAGGAATTTTCACCTATTTCTACCCACTGTAAATCTGTATTAGAAAACACAACTTTCATTAAAATTGTACATGGGATGTGGTTAATATTACAGCATCTACATATGAGAAATGGTGAATTTTTGGCTCTCATTTTGTCAATCAAATCTCTCATGTGAATACAGAATACGTGCAATCATTTATAAAAACACATCTACAAATTACAATTTCAGTCATATATAGCAAATTTGATCAAAATTTGATTTGAAGTGTTTGCTTATACTGGCTGAAATGAGATAATATGCAAATTAACTACTTAATATGCATGGCCTAAAAGAATGGATGTGCCTCCTAATACAGATTGTACAGAACAAACAAATTTGATTCAAAGTATCGCTATTTAGGATGAAAATCACATTTGCTTGAGGGAAACACTGTCTATTACTCTATGTAGAAATAATCCCAATCTACACATCCAAATATTAAAAGTTTGGTGGACAATCGTTTTGTTTTACAGTATTCTGGAAGAAAATGATACTGTATCTGAGTTTGTCTTTCAATTCCTCAAATATATGACCTTTTAACAGAATTTTTAAACCAATTTGTCATAATTTTAAGACCTGAGTGTCAAACTCAATTAAATGGCCCGAGATAAAAACAAAGCAGAATACAACCATCGATTGAGCATATCTGATTTTCAAACTGCCAAATCAGAAGATTTAATTTTGAATTTTTTGGTTTTTCAGACCTTTTTAAAACCTCAGCAAAATAAATAAAGTTAAATAAAGTTTTATTAACCTTTTCACCACCAGACTTCCTCACCCAAATTTTTTCACACTTTTTTTCTTCAATATTTCTGAATATGAACCCTAATTTTGAGCCAACAAACAAAATTTTTTGAAACAAAAAATTTGGCTTTTTTTTTGTCCCAATCTTCTGAAGGACAGAGCAGACTATAAACAGGACTAATTTGTGATGAAAATAGAGAACTGGTGGTGAAAAGATAGTTAAGACTTGCCTGGGACCTCTATGTATTTGTTTCAGGCACTGTCATCAAAACTATGGATAATATGTTTACACAATGTGTTAATACAATTATGAAACATGCATAATGCTGAAACAATGTCTGTTTGGGAACAGGCTTTAAAAATGCCAGTCATTGCACCAAATTGACATGGGTCCCATGCGACCGACGTGTATACAATCTGTAAAATGCTTTTGAAATATTATTCTGCTCAAATGTTTTAAGTAAGTGAACAAATATCAATTCAAACTTGTTGTTAAAGAATTCATGAGGTGGATTTAACCTGACTACAATAGTGCACATTTAATGAACATCAGATTATGATGAGTCACCTGAATTACCACGCTTTGATTTAATAAACGCCATGCCATGGTTTCTCATATGTGTACGCAATGAAATATCATTGTCAAATGACTTATAACAAACATTGCATTCTAAACTGAGAGCATCTTCAGTTCTTTTTGATATAATGCTACCACTCGGAGCGACAGTAGTTTTCTGACTACCACCATTCTCTTCTAATAGACTTATAGCATCTTCATATTCATTGAAATCTTTCACTTTATGAATCATATACAGATGTTTTTTTAGCGACTGATCACCACGGAATAACAAACCACATTCTTTACACTGTGCTGACGCTGTATCATTTTTATGTTCCACGATATGTTCCTGGAACTCACGTCTTACATCGGTGTGATAACTGCATTTTGCACAGTCATATGAAGAACTCAGTTCAAATTTAGCTCTTTTGCTTGTGGCTCTACTGTTTCCAACAATTGTTGATCTTCTTTTTCTAACATGTATATTGGTTCCTGCTGTCGTTGCTGGCATTTCGGGAAACTCGGCATCAGCTGTTATCCCATGAACTCTCTGCAAGTGCTTCTTCAACTGAGAGCGCTTACTAAAAGTCTGTTTGGTGGTATCACTACAGTGCCAGCATGTATACGGAATGGAACCTTTGTGTTTAACACGAATATGTCGTTGTAAACTTTTATTGGACTCAAAAGTTTTTGGACATATTTGGCAGGCATGAGGAGCTAATCTTCTGTGTGTGCGTTTCATATGCTTGTTTAGGGCCTCCATGCTTTTGAAAGCAATACCACACTCATGACAGCTATTCTTGATTATGGACTGTGTCAGTTTCTGTTCATGTTGCTGTAGATGTTCTACTAGTTGTTGCTTTGCCGAGAACGTCATGTAACACTGACGCAGACAAACACACCATCTTTCTCATGTTCTACAATGTGATCTATCATATCTGCTTTGCTATCAAAGAGCTTACCACACACAGAACATTTGTTGTTAATAACAGTTGTGGGTGGTGGGGATTTCAACTGTTCAAAATGTTTGTTCTTGTGTTGCAGCATGAACTGGTAGGTTTTGAAAGGAACTCGGCACACATCACAGACAAAGTCCTTTAATTGACTCCCTTTATGCTGAACTTGTTGGTGTTTCTGTAGAGTTTCCTTGCTGTCAAAGTGTTTATTACAATCATTGCATTTGAACACATAGATTCTAAGATTCTCCTTATTAATTAGATGTGTATTCAAATGACTGGGTAGACTGCTCTTCTGGGGAAACACAGTATCACACATGGGGCATTTGTGGATAACACGAAACCCATGTCCCGCAAGTTGATGCTGGCTCTGCATATGATTATTGATGATATCAACTGACTTAAATGCCATAGGACAGATTGGACATTTGCAGAAGGTATCAGTATGTATATTTTGTAAGTGTTCTTTAACACTGGTGATGTTAGGGTAACCTGCATTACAATGTGTACATTTGTAAACAGCTTGACGACAGAAATGGAAACAGGAAGCATTCAAATGAACGTAGAAGAGTTCACGATCGTGTTTGTCTTCACCACATTCTGGACAGATATAGGGAGCTTGGTTTTTGTGTACACGTTGATGAGCTTGGTAGTAGCATTTATTTGGACAGTGAAGTCCGCAAACAGTGCAATTAAGGTCACTTCCTTTTCCATTTAACTGAAAATGGGTATTCCGAGACTGCAGATTGGCGAATACAACTTCACATTCTGGGCATTGTGGCTGAGCTGTGGGAACATTCGTCACTGATTTATCTTGATAACTTGTTTGATTGTCTCTCCTAGTGCCCGTAGGCCATAAGCTGATGACACTTTTGTTCAATGAACTAACTTCTACAGACTTAAGAGAGACGTTAATGTTCTTAGCAGACTTAGAGTAGTGAAGACGTACATGTCGCAGCAAACTGCATTTATTATAGAAGACTAGCTTCTTATTACACACCTCGCAAACATAGGTAATTGTGAGACTACATCTTTCTAAATGCATATTCAAACTGCTTTCAAATAAGTATGCATCGCCACATTCCAAACATCTGTATCCATCCATAGGCACACTCATCTTCCATTCCTTAGGAGGCAATTTGGGTACATATCTTGTAACCGGATTATTTCTCTTCAGTAGATTATTATGCACAATAACATTAACAGTGGGTCCTGTAGAGCTATCTAATGGTAGGCCTCCATCTAGAAGAGCTGACTGTAGTGTACCAGCTTTTCCCAGTGTTGTGCTGACTACAGGACTCACTACACTACTAAGAGAAGAAACTGTAATACTATTTGTACCACTAACCCTAGGTTGAGCAACACTTGTAATTACTAGTAACCTTTGTCCGGTTGCCGTGGTAGCAGTTTTCAACATAGTCCCTGGTATATGACTATTAGTTGACGGAAATGCAACAATTTTTGCACTAGTTGATGCAATTGGCTTTGGAGCAATTTTAATTTGTCCCTTTGCCTGTACAAGCTTTAGCAGCGGTTTCTGCACTGGAGATGCTGATAGTGATACTGATGGTTTGATTTTTAACACATCTTTCTGAGGTAGAGCAGGTCCTTGTACTAGCTGTGGTTTAGCTGGTGAAACTTCTTTTTCACTGGTAGTAGCAGATGGCAAGATGGATTTATATAGTAGCGGTGATTCTGATTTGATGTCCTTTTTATCTGTTCCATCTTGTGCCTTCAGTTCTGTTGATGCAACAACATCAACCTTAGTAGCATGACTGCTCTTTTTATCTACCAGAGTTTTCTCAGTGTTGGTTGGTATTATGATAATTTTCTTTCTCTTTCCTGAAGTCTCAGGTGACTTGTCTGGACTGGTAGATTTTGCATCACTGTTTTTAACTACCACATTAGAACTTTTCTGTATTTTTTCATCACTTTCATCAACATCATGCTTGTTCTCATCATCATCCCCATGAACACCATCATCAGTAGCATCCTCCCCATGAACATCATCATCATCATCATCATCAGCAGCATCCTCCCCACGAACACCACCATCATCATCGGCAACAACATCCTCACGAACACCATTATCATCATCATCGGCAGCAACATTCTCCTTACGAACATCAACG